AAGGACGGTTGCACGACGACGCCCGGAGAGGTCGCCCGCGAGGATTGCCTGCAGTTTCTCAGTCGAGAGCGTGCAGCCGCACTGGCGGGTGTGCTCGGTGAAGACGGCACGGCTATGGGGAGAAGGGGTTAAGGTGGCTGCATACGGGGATAGGGTTGAGTGCTCACAATTCTTCGAGCCCTTTGTGGGATGGCGGGGGTAGAGATGCTATGCAAGTCAACGACAGGGGAGGGTGCGGCAATGTGACTGAACAGCTCGTTGAACGCCTGAGGGAAGTTGTACAGAGAAGGCCCGTTCGTTGGTGACGAGGGCATAGACATGGATTCGTGGAGCTGCGACGTCGACGCTGTCGGCTGGCCATTATGGTGGCCGTTATGAGGTAGCACATGGGACACTGGAGAAGTCTGTCTGAGCCGAGGTGTTGGCTAATGTAGTTTGAGAGTATGTTCACGGACCTCGTAACGCGGATATCTCGCTTTCGTAGATGGCTAGACGGTGCTCCAGCTCATGTGTGCGCATGAACAGGGCTTCGGTCAGCGTCCGCTCAACGTTTTCGTCATACGAGCAGTCCTTCTCCTTCCCGGCAACCTTGCACGTCGAGCAGAAGGGCCGCTTCGCGTCACATTTCTGTCCTATATTCAGCACGACGTCGGCAATGGGGGCGGCTAGATAGGGTCACCTTCTTTTTCCTCCTGCAGCGCACGCCCATTCAGTCATCGGGCCACCACGTGTGAGCTGGCGGCTCACTCACCTGCACGGCACGCAGGCGGCGCCTTTCTTGAGATACTCGCCCTTGGGCCCTGCAGAGATCGCTGAAGCCGTCGAGTAGTCGCATTCGACCGGGCGACGGGCCTTGGAGCAGGGCCCGCAGATAGGGAGGACGCCATCGCACCGCTGCACCGCATTTGAGCGTGACACATCATGGGGATCGACGCAGTAAGCTTACGACTTTGCGGCCGCTAAGGGTTCCGCACCAGGATCGATCGGGGATAGTTAAAAAGTGCTCATCAGCGCCTCGACAGGAACGTGAGAGGACACGGGGATAGGTACCGGCATGCTGAGCAGGTCTGGCTACCGGCCATGGTGATGGGGGTTGGAAGCAAGAGGGGATTTCGGATTACGACAGGGCTTGGACGGATATCAGAGGCCTGTATCGGTTCCGGCACTGAATGAGCAGACTAGCGCCGTCGTCGTCGGGGACTTTGAGGCAGGTGTGCTCGTCGCATGGGATGGGCTTCTCCGAGTCCGGAGTGATCGGCCTTTGCGGACAGCGAGCAATCCTGCGAGCGAGCTGGGGAGCGGGCTGCGAGGCGGACACCCGCTCGTGGCTGGGGAGGCCGGAGTGGTGGTGGTAGAGAAGAGAGTTGGCAATGGCAGGTCTGAGACGAGCCGCACTAAGGACATCAACGTCAACAACCTGCACAACCGCCGTCGATGTCCTCCCTCACAGTCAACAGCCGCCCCATGCTGGCGTTCGCCGTTCGTGGCGCCCGCTCGATCACGTGGGACGAACGCGACTTGAGTGGTGTGCGGTGGATGTGCTTTGCGCTCTCCGTCTGCTTGCCCATACCCGTCTTCTCCGGACACACCGACCTCCCCTGCTGCGATACTCTTGCGCTGGCCGCCGCCCTCACCTCGATGCCCACCCTGCTCCGCGCTCCACGTGATGCGACGCGCTTTTGCCCTCTCGACGACGCCCTTGCTCCCTTCAATCGATCCCTGTCCTGTGCCAATCGGCCCCGCGCCTGCTCTGCTGCGTCCGCCTCGTGCGCTGCACTCGTTTTCCGCAGACCTCACACCGTCCGCCGCCCATCTCTTGCGCGCCTGCCCTCGCCCGCCTGCTGTGTCTGCGTCTGCGTCCTCGATCGACTGCTCCAGTCCGCCCAACCTGCCTTCGATCGCACTCACTCGCTAGCTCCCCCCGTCTCGCAGCAATCCGCGGCACCGCTCATGCGAGCCGACGTCGTGAACTCGCCGTGCAGGGTATGTGATTATCCCGCGTCCCCTCGCTGACCACATCGCGACAGAAAATGAAATAAAGTCCCGCCGCGCGGGGATTATAACATTCGGGTATACGGACGAAGAACATGCAGCACCAGTACCAAGTGCGTTCATTCCTCCCCTCAGCCCTGACCCACCCACAGCGGCTTAGCACGACGTCGATTCCCGACGGTGCGACCCCGCAGCTCGTCCCCGCGCCCGTCAAGGCTGCTCCGGCGTACGAGGTCCATCAACGCCGTGGGGACGTACAGGACATGTACCGTAGCTACGTACGACTGTATCTATGCCCAACCCGCCCTCCAGGTCAGTCACTCCTGCTCAAGTATGTCGAAACACATCGCTAACAGCCGTGGTCAGCACCGATATACGGGCAAGCAGAGCCGGAACGGACGGGCGCACCTCTAAGCTCGCTGCACGGCGCTGCGCGTCGACCGAACTCGACGGCGGCCGCGCGCACAACGACGCCCTGCACACGGTAGTCAACGACGAGCGAGTAGGACGAATGGGCGCACCTGCACGACGCCGCGCGTCGACCAAGATCGACGTCGCCCCAGCACACGACGATGCCCTGTACACAACAGTCAACAGTGAGCGTGCGGACGCACGGAGAGGCCGCGTACGTGGACGTACCAGGCAGCACGATGCCGCGCACACGGGGAAGCAGAAGAGGACGAGAGAGGCGAGGGAGCAGAGGCAGGCGGGGGGTGGGTTGGCTTCCCCTCCTCCCCAGCTGCTCGCCTTTATCCATTCTCCAGACGCCCGCGGACCGCCCTCGCCCGCCATGCACCCTCGCCCTCCTCCCTCTTCTTGCCCTCGCACCTCGCTGTTCGGTTCGCGCGCGCGCGCAATCTCCGCCGTCCGCCTCGTCAGCGTGTGCGCTGCCCTCGGACGACGGCGACGTCCCGGCCCACGCCGACGTCCCGGCCCACGCCCCCACGTCCCCGAGCTCGTCGCATCCCGCGCAGAACGTTCCGCAGCGAGTTTGCGACGGTGCCGATGGCGGACCGCCCGTCTCGTCGGCGGCCCCGTGTGCGTGTGCCCCTCGCGGATGTCTCTGTCGCGTCGCCGCTGCCGACGCTCTCCACGGCCACCCCTCGTGCGTGTGGGGCGGCATATCGCCCGATTCGCAAGTCGCCGCTAGTGCACCCGCGTACGTACACCCCGCCGTGTTTCCGATTTGATGCACTCATAACTGGGACCGAGCAGGAACGGCCGTGCCCGTGCACTGGCACCTCGAAGAGCCCGCTCCGTGCACCCCGCACGCTTATGCAGCGTGCGCACTGCTCGTGGAACCCCGCCGGAGCGTGCACGGCCGCGGCGCGCACGTTCGCTGCGTCGCACGGCGGGCACACTCCCCGTCAAGGCCTCGCGCTCGCGCGTCGGTGCGTTCGCGGCGGTCTCTCCAACACCACACCACACCCTCCTGCACTCCGTCGCGTACGTCTATCGAGTCTCGGAGCTGTGTGGACGAAATATATCTTTGTTGCCGAGGACGACTTCGTGCATGTCAACATGCAGTCCACTGCGCGTAACGGTCCG